AGAGAAACTAAAGCAGATACCTTAAAGCAACTGAGGCCAATAGGAAAAGGGGAACAGGTACTAGAGAAAAGGTTAGATCAAAAAGAATTAACCTAGAAGGTAACACCCACGCACAGGAAATCAATGTGAGTCAATGCCCTGTATAGCTATCCTTATCTCAACCAGCAAAACCCCTTGTTCCTTCCTATTATTGCTTATACTCTCTCTACAACAAAATTAGAAATAAGGGCAAAATAGTTTCTGCTGGGTATTGGGGGGGGGAGAGGGAGGGGGCGGAGTGGGTGGTAAGGGAGGGGGTGGGGGCAGGGGGGAGAAATGAACCAAGCCTTGTATGCACATATGAATAATAAAAGAAAAATGAAAAAAAAAACACCAAAAAATATAAATTGGTTATATAAAAAGCTCTTCCTCATCAGTGTAGTGGTGAGTATCCTCATCTGTCATGCAGGAAACAGGGGTCCAGTTCCCTGATAGGGAAGAAGTTTAGTTTCTTGGGGCTAGAGGTGTGATTCATGTACACCTCCAGCACAAAGCGAGTACCAAGGCCATATATGTTTCCCAGAGAATTGAGCTGCGTACTTTATATAGCAAGTCTCAGTGGAATGCAATGGTCTTATTGCACAGGTGAATTTATGGTAAGACCACACACTGGGGAGAGGGGCATTATAGGGAAACTCTTGAGTTTGGAGGTCCCAGAAAAGCATGGAAGAGAAAATGATGATTGCTCTAGCTGTGCAGATATCCATTCGTCTATCTGGCTTTTTAAGATTCAACTTTAAAAAAAAAAAAAAACACCCATAAAAAGAGAAACTACATTTGTAGTTTTATAAATGCAACTCACTTATTCAACTGATTGTGGAATCAAATAACTGAATGAGTCTGGTACGTAAGAATAAAAATATTAGTACCCCAGCAGTAAGTGCTACTATTTCACCTCTCATGAGCCCAGTTCTGTGTATAATTGAAAATTCATTCTCTTTTGGGATTGTGTACCAGAGGATGCTTATCAAAATACTGCATCTCTCTTCCTTATTCTTGGCTTCTTAGTTCATTGCTGATACCATTTTTTGCATGTGTTGTCAATCAATGTGCCCAACCCGTGAGGCCAGTCTCTCAATAAACATGTGTTGAATGAATGAATGAATGAATGAAGTCTCTTACAGTCCTCTGCCACCTGAAAATTTTCATGTAAAAGTGTGCATTTCAGAGTTACTCAAAAATATCTTTTGTTATAAGGCAGAATTACCCACTGTCAGTCAGTAAGAACTCAAAACACCTTTTCCTTAGGTGTTCTGAATAGTGGAAAGTCAGGTTGCTAATGCCAAATTCTGACTCATTGTATTCTTTTTAAGAACTTGCTATAAATTTCATTTGTGCTAAGTGCCGAGGTGGCATCATTTTTGATTCTTATAAATAATCTTATAAATTGGCTCTGATATTTTAAGAAGGTAATGTTCTCAGACACCATACTTCTGTTCTATGCACAGTAAGGCAGCTGCCTTCTAGTGCTGGGTTCTGTTCATGGTAGGCATAGTCTACACTTTGGATAAAGTGGTTTGTTCTGAACCAAATTTTACTGGAATAACATGGAGTAGCATTGAAAGGCTATAGAAACTTTCTTTTAAAAAGAAGTTTCTGTCCTTTTCATGATTTATTATTTATCACTGATTTACTGTTTTTACATATTCCAGGTATGTTAAATGGGTAATAATTTAGACTAAGAAACTATACATGGGCTGCGGGGGTGTGGCTCAGTGGTAGAGCATATACCAGGCTCTTGGGTCATCCTCAGCGCTGAAAACAAAAAGAAAAGAAACTCTACTTGTTCACTTATTTATGCTGGGGGTGGATCCCAGGGTGTCATGCATGCTATGCCTGTGCTTTACCACTGAGCTGTACCCCAGGTTTGCATTTACTCTTATAGTCCAGAAGCTGGTTACAGGCGGTTTTATTGTCATACACGCTCTTTCTCTTGGATTCACATTCCCTGATCTCCAGAAATGCTAAGTGGAGAGGGAGGAGACATATTTCTCAGATCTGGCAAGAGAAGGAACACAAATGAATCATACATTTCCTCTGTGTCAGACACCTGGTGAGGCATGAGGGCATGTGGACCCAGCCCTCCAACTCTGAGGGAGACAGTTCTCATTCCTCTTTGCATGTGGAGGTTATAGTCAGGAACAGAATGAGGCTTTTCTCCAAACAGCTCACTGGGCATAGTGCCATGGCTCTGCCCACTTGTATTTGACCACATTTGAGCCTGTTACAAAAACTATAGTCATTACACCTTGTAACTTTTTCCCATTTTCAGTCTTAATTTTTTTTCTTTTTCTTTTTTTTTTTGGTGGTACTGGGGCTTGAACTGAGGCCTCAGGCATGCTAGGCAGGCGCTCCACTGTTTGAGCCACTTTGCCATTTTGCCAGTACTTTTTTGTGTGTGCGTGTTGGATTTTTCCAGATAGGGTCTCCAGAACTATTTGCCCAGGCTGGCTTTGAACCATAATTCTCCTGATCTCTGCCTCCCAAGAGGTTAGGATTACAGGTGGGAGCCACTGGCACCCAGCCTTAATTCAGTTTTTAATTCAGACTTACCACTCATTCCAACTTTGATTTTTTTGCCGGGGGGTTGATCTCTCCATCACTTGATAACAGAAAATAATCACTCCTCTTCTGCCTTGGTGATATGAATTCCCATAGGACCTTGGTTCAAATCCCAGGCCTTAAAAAAATTAAAGAGGTGAATCATATGCAAAAGCACCATATAAACCAAAAAGCATGATAAAATTATTGGCTCTTTAAAATTCTATTGACAAAATAGTATGTTGTACTATTTATATCAGCACACATATTGTAATTAGCACATTTAAAATATATTTCCTGTTAAGCTTAACAAATACAACATCTATTGTACTTTTATTTAAATTCATCTGTCTACCTTGAACATGAAAGTATAAAACTTAGTATCTCTGTATGTGCTCACAGTGATGATCTGAAACTTAGAAAATTTGATTGTGAAAAATGGAAAGTGATATTCAGAGTTTAGAAAGTTACAATTTTACATTCAAAAGCAAAATGTTCCTTGGAATTCAGTGTTGAGATTGTCGTTTGTCTTTTTTTTTTTTTTTTTTTTTTTTGGCAGTATGGGTATGAGGTTTGAACTCAAGGCTTCATACTTGCTAGGCAGGTGCTCTGCCACTTGAGCCACACCACCAGTTTTGTGTTGGGGTTTTTCAAGATAAGGTCTATTTGTCTGGGCTGACTTCAAACCTCGACCTTCTGATCTCAACATCCTGAGTACTAAGATTACAGGCGTGAGCCGCTGCCCAGCCCTGCCATTTGTCTTTGTTGTGCACTTATACCTGGTTGGATCTTAGGACCACTCTCTTTACTAGGTGGCCCAATTAAGACAGAAAATATCTCTGGCCTGATATCTATGTTTAGGCCTTCTGGTTTAGGAGAATGGCCATCCTGAGAACATCTTATTGGCCATAGGCCCGTACACGTGGCAAGATTTAAATGTGCTGTGAGAGCACTTGACTGTGTCCTGCCTCCACTTTGGGAATCCAGTTAAAGAAGGAATACTAAAAGAAGAAGAAAAAAAATAATTATCTGGATAAAACACATCTCAAATTCATACCCAGGAACAGACACTTTACTGCCATATTTGTCTGAAAAAAAAAGTTATCATGCTGGAATTAAATATGTTTCCATAAGTAAACAGGAAACGTGAGAAGGAAGTAAAAATAGGGGTGAGGAAAGACTGGAAAATTATAAAAGGCTCAAAGGAAAGAGACAAGAGGCGCCAGGATTTCACGATTCCTGTTTGTACCTTCAGCTTCTTGGACGTTTTACTTGAAAGTTTATTAAAGAAAATGAGCCATCCAAAAATGATGGAAATGCTTTCTCCTTTTTAAGAGAAAATTCTTAGAATTCATTAAATTCCTATAATTTATAAAAATTAGTTAAATGATTTAAAGAAGTTCTCTCACTGGACACAGTAGCTCACACCTGTAATCCCATCTACTCTGGAGGCAAAGATCAGGAGGATCCTGGTTTGCAGCCAACCCAGGCAAAAAGTTAGTGAGACCCATGCATGATGGTATGCACCTATAATCCCAGCTATGGTGGGAGGCATGGATAGGAGGAGTGTGGTCTGAGGCTTGCTCTGGGCAAAAAGTGTGAAACGCTATCTGAAAAATAAATTTAAAAAAATGATTAAAGCTAAAAGATTTCAAGCAGTAGAGTGCCTGCCCCAGTAATGCCAAAATAAAGAAAGAAAGAAAAGAATTTTTCTTTCTCTCTCTCTGTCCCCTCTCCCTTCCCTTCCTCCCTCTCCTAACTCCTCACTGTAAGATTAGAAAATAAATTATGTTCAGACTATTTTCAAAAAATATTGAGGAGTCTTATGACTATTAAGATAGGATCCTAAAAAAAAAAAAAAAGCAAAAAAATACACAGTGCTTCTCATCTGGAGGGATTTTGCTTCCTGGGGACTTTTGAAGACACTTGATTGTCATTACTTGGGAGGTGCTACTGGCTTCTTTGTGGGTAGTGTCCAGGGATGCTGCTGAGCATGCTACAGTGCACAGGACAGCCCCACCTCAAAGCATTGTCTAGCCCATGGTCAACAGCACCAAGCTGAGAAATAAATCCTGGGGTGGAGAAACAGCGTGGCTCTGGAACAGAAGTGGTCCCGAGCTCCCACTCTACTCCTTGTTTTGCCATGTGTGTGTATGAAACATATCAAAAATACACAGCATTTTTTTTTTGTGGCACTGGACTTTGAACTCAGGACCTCACACTTGCTAAGCAGGCATTCTACCACTTGAGCCACTCCAATTTTTTTTTACATGCTGGGGTTTGAACTTAACATACTATGGCCTTGCCCTTACGAGGCAGGTGCTCTACACTGGAGCATGTTTTGGCTGAATGAAGAAATTACCTCCCTTAATTTCTTCATCTATAAAATGGGAGTGGCACCACCTACACATGAATGTGTAAAATGCATGAATGTAATGGTTTTGAGTGTGAGAGGTAACATAAGGCAGAGCCCCGAGCCTGGAATCACTACAGGTGAGCATGGGTGGTGGTGATGATAGGTCTGCCAAAGAGTTCAAGTTTGCAGGTCTCCCATGAGCCTCATGACCTGAGTCCTGTCCCTAACCCAATTCAGGTTACACGGCAGATCCATGAGCATGAGCAGGAGAACGAGTTGCGGGAACAGATGTCAGGTTATAAGCGGATGCGGCGCCAGCACCAGAAGCAGCTGATCGCCCTGGAGAACAAGCTGAAGGCTGAGATGGACGAGCACCGCCTCAAGCTCCAGAAGGAGGTGGAGACGCATGCCAACAACTCGTCCATCGAGCTGGAGAAGCTGGCCAAGAAGCAAGTGGCTATCATAGAGAAGGAGGTTAGTGTGAGCAGGCACGCCAGCGGCAAGGGTGGAGTGAGTGTCACAAGCAAAGGAGGAATGTTATTGCTGTGGGGGGATGCATTCAGACAAATTCTGAGCACCACTGCTTCTATGGGGGTCTGGGTACCATTAAAGGGTGCAGGAACTAACACAGCGCAGGCCTGGTTCTATGCCTGCTGTGCCCACAGTGCCCCTCAAATTGTCCCTCTTGGTGGGGGCAGTCCCTACCCATGGCTGGTATACTAAGTTATAGCACCTGCCTGATGGCAGCAAAGAATTAATCTGACCATGATTTATGTTTTCTTGGGAACATCTCTCTTCCCCATCCACATTCTGAACTAGTGTAATTTATTTATTTATTTATTTATTTTGGGGAGTGCTAAAAATCAAACCCCAGGCCTCATGCATACCAAATATGTGCTCTGGGCTCCACCCTCAGCCCCTCTAAAAATGAACAAAAGGGTAAGACAGACAGAAAATTAAAATAGCTGCTTCATTATCAATAAACGTCCAACATGACAAAGGATTACCTACAGGACCTAGTAGGACTGAATAGAATTCAACAGACTTGCCTACCCAGACATGTCAGCTGTGGCAGGACCACGGTGCCAGGGGTGTTTCAGTAACCATGCTGTCTGTCTACGTGGAAGGAAGTATCAGATCGTAGCAAGAGCATCCCCCACACACACACACCAGTAGCCCATTGGTGCATGAGGCAGCTTCACATAAAGAGCTCTGCCCAAGGAGGGTGATGCTGGTTAAATATACTAGTCAGGTCTGCCTTGGGAGTCCAATTCGGCAAATATGTCGGGAGAATTGTTGATAATGGAAGAATTGCTGATAATGGAAGCTGAAAGTAAAGATTCAGAAGTGGAACCCTAAAACCTACCATGGTCTCCCCCATCCCACACCTCATTCGGTGCCTCCACAGCTCTCTGGAGCATTCTTCTACAGGGCCGGGATTTACTGGGTTACCTTCGACTCAGTCTACATTTTATCCATGGTGGAACCCCCAGAATGCCATGGTGCCTGACTACTATGCATTGTAGCAGATGCTATAGTGTGTAATTTACTCATTTGTCTATTTATTTATTTATTTATGTAGGGTCTTCCTATGTAGCCCAGCTGTCCTTGAACTTGCAATCCTCCTGCTTCAGCCTCCCAAGTGCTGGGATTACAGCTGTGTGCCACCACATCTAGCTCCTAGAGGATGCCTAAGAAAACAAAATGTCATTAGCTTTCCTTTATACTGGATGTGATCCCACTAAGAAATCTGATAGTTGGAATAATTACTTGCTTAGAGTTTGAGACTTGGATGAAAAATGGGCAGATATGATTATTAATTCATTTTTATCATTTAACCCTTGGGTTGCTAGCAGTGGTATTAAAATCCTTAAAATCACAAATTTTTGTGTTCAATAAAATAGGTTTTTGGTCCATCTTCATATTTTTCCTGTACTTGGAAATGTATTTTTCAGGGGTAACATATTTTTAAGATGCAGGAGTCACAGACATTTTTATTATCTGTTCAGTAATAAGATATTGCACACTTACAACTTAAGGACTAAGGTGGGGCCTTAGAGACTGCAGAGTGACTTCTTTGTGAGGACCAGGTTCGAGCTGCACCCTCTCTGTTCTCTCACCAGGCAAAGGTAGCCGCGGCAGATGAGAAGAAGTTCCAGCAACAGATCTTGGCCCAGCAGAAGAAAGACTTGACAACTTTCTTAGAAAGTCAGAAGAAGCAGTATAAGATTTGTAAGGAAAAAATAAAAGAGGTAAGGTTGGCGGCTCTGCAGGCACCAGATTAGAATGGGGCAACTTGAGAATGACTCCTCTTGCCTCATGACCAGAATTCTAATAATTCTAATCCAGCACTTCCCAAACTTCAAATGCTTATTAAAACAGACTGCTTCCCCCCCGCCCCCCGTTTGCTGCTTCAGTGGTCCTAGGTGGAATGAGCGTCCTAGCAAGGGTCCCCGGGACACTGGTACTGCAGGACCCAGGCCCACACTGTAAGAACCATTGACTCTCTGCACTTTGTTTCTGCCAGTCCTGGAGTTTGGAACTCCGAGTCTAGTGCTTGCTAGGCATGCACTGTATTCCTTGAGCCACATCTCCAGCCCTTTTTGCTTTCGTTCTTTTTCAGATAGGGTCTTGTGTTTTTGCCCAGGCCTGCCTGTATTACAGTCCTCATACCTATGCCTTCCTTGTAGCTGGGATCATAGGTACGCACCACAATGCCCAGCATATTGATTTAGGTGGGGTCTTGCCAACTTTTTGCCAGGGCTGGCCTCCAACCTCTATCCTCCCAATTTCCACCTCCCAAGTAGCAGAGATTATAGGTGTGAAACACAGCACCCAACCCAGAGTAGTCTTTTCAAACCATAAATCCTGTCATATCACCCCATCATTTTAAACTCCACAAGCTTCCCATTGCTCTTAGGACAGTCAAAATCCTAAAAGTCCTACATAGTCTACTCAGTTTACCCTTACAGTATCATCTCACACCAGTATTTCCCCCACCCCTGGCCCCACTCTTGATTGCTCCAGCCACAGCCACAATGGTCACCTTTCAGTCCCTCAAATGTATTGAGCTCCTCCCTGCCTAAGGTCTTTGCACAACTATTTCTTGCACCAGTACTCTGTCTGCACCCCGAAGCCCTCCCTCAGTTCTGCTCAGTTAATCCCTACTCCTCCTCCTTGTAAGATTGATTATTAGGATTTTAACTCAAGTGTCACTTCCCCAGGGAAGCCCTTCCTAATTGCCTCAACCAAGATAGGTATCTCTGGCTTGATAACTCTAGAGTCTTCACTTTTTCTTGATGATTACTTGACCTCCTTGCCCTATCAGTTGGTTAAGTTCATAAGAGCAGAGGCACTGTGTCCCTCACGCATTACACGTGAATATTTGAAGAAAGGATGAATGATTCTGGGATGGTTGGTTAAAGACCACTGGTGGGCTTAGAGTTCCCCTGAGGAAGTACAATTTCATTTGAAAGCACAGATTTCTTCAGTTCTCCTTCACCCAGTACCTATAGGTACTGTCTCCAGTCCAGTAGACTTCCTTTCTTAGAAGACTTAGGATTTCCTATTTATAGACTTAGTAGGTACATTAAGGCTTAATAAAATTCAGTACAGAGCATTGCTTTAGTATAGGAAATCATATTTTGGAGCTCATATTCTGATTTGTAGGTTCCACATACAGAGCTTATCAAGGCTCCTCTCCAATTCTTTATTAATTGTGAGGTGAAAGCACGTGGTGTGGGCTTGACACAACATTGTGCTTGATCCACACTGGCTAAATGGGAAGAGCTGACACTGTAAGGTCTAGAGGACCTGAAAGTACAGAGAAACAGCTTGTTGAAGAAGGTGCACATTCTCTTTATAGCTTTCTTAGTGGTTGGCTTGAGTGAAATGATTACAGCATAACAGAAGGGTATTGCTGAATGACAGAGATTGCTTAATTTTTCAATAAGAAATTTGGAGATTTTTCTCAGCTCTCACCTTCTTATTTTCATCTAATCCCAAATGAGGTGTGCTTTCTTCTGAAATTCAAACTAATGACATTTACATATTTACCTGGTATCTCTCCACTTCTTTCAGTCTTGTCCTCACCTCCCTTGTCCAAGATACTGTCACCCCTCTCAACTGGACCTGTGCAGAAGTGTCCCTGCTATCTCTGGACAGAGTTAGACCTGAATCAAAGACAGCCAGAGCCATGTCTTTGAAATGTGGTTCAGTGTGCCGTCTACAGATATAAAATACATTTCTTCTGTGCTTAAGATCAGTGGCCTGAACTTGGTCATGAGGCTGAAGTTCTTCTGCCTGCCTGCCTGGCCACCTCATCCTCAGGTCACACCACACCTGCCACCCTGGCCATCTGTCAGTCCATGTGCTCCCTGAGTTTCCTCCCCACCCTAGGTGGTTCACATATGTGTTCCGTCAATCCAGAATGCCCTTCTCTGCTCTTTCCCACTGGTGACTTCCCAACTTTTCAAATTTCAGCTTGTTACCAAGGTCAGATACTCTATACTAAATGTCCTTTGAGGGCTGGAGACATAGCTCAAGCAGTACAGTGCCTTTCTAGCAAGTGTAATGTCCTAAGTTCAAAACCCCCGTATCTCAAAAAGAAAAATGCCCTAAACATTCTTTAAAGACTAAGTGCTTCCTCTTCTCAGCCATTTTCATGGTAACTTTCACTACATTTCCATGGTCCCTGGGTGGTTTTTTATGCTGGGCTGGGTAGTTCTCATGTGGTAGACAGAACGTTGTCCTGCTTACACAGTGCTGTCACACAGTAAGAGACTTGGTGAGCGTGTGTTGATTGATCAGTGAAAAATAATTTCTAAAAGTGAGAAGCCAGAGTTGGGGGAAGAGGGAGACTCACAAGTGTCCCTCTCACTTAATACTCAATCAGAAAAAGAAAATAAAAGACAAAAAGCTGGGGTCATGGAATGTGCAACACCAAGCCTTTCTGTGCTTGCACTTCTCAAATAATTTAACCTACACTTGCAATAGGTGCATTATGGTTTGTTCTATGAAACTAGCTTGGGTTGTTGGTTGTTTGGTTTTTTTTTTTTTTAAGGAAATGAATGAGGACCATAGCACACCCAAGAAGGAAAAGCAAGAGCGGATATCCAAGCATAAGGAGAACCTGCAGCACACACAGGCCGAAGAGGAAGCCCATCTTCTCACCCAGCAGAGACTGTACTACGACAAAAACTGCCGTTTCTTCAAGCGGAGAACCATGACCAAGCGACATGAGGTGGAGCAGCAGAACATTCGAGAGGTATTTACTGCGCTCGCTTGCGCCTACCGTCCTGCCTCACAGTACAGCAGGCTATAGGAGGGGCGTGGCCTCGTCTGCTTTGTCCACTCCTGCGTCCTCAGCCTTTAGCATAGGGCCTGAGTCAGAGTAGTGCACAAAATAAGTTGGGAGTAAATTTACCATGAACAAGAACAGGAATCAACTTGTTCTAAATAAAAGAATTTTAATGAACACCTACTGTACCTTCACTACCATATCACACAATGAAGTATCAAAAGAGACAGAATAGAGAGCTTTGCTTTCAGCCTGCTTGTCAAGGACTTGTGTGTTTGTGACACTAGAATTAGCAGTAGAGTACTCTGTAATTTAGTTTGTTCATCCAGAGTGCCACTTTTGTGCCAGGACTGTGATAGATGCCAGGGCTACCTCGCAGCTATACACCCTGTCTTCAGGAAGCCCTGGGCCTAGGACGGGCATCACGGGATGGGTGACAGATGTATTACAATGCCAGGTGTTACCTGCAGTAACAGAGAGATAATTACAGGCGTGAGGTGTGGTGAAGGGGCTAGAGGAGCCAGTGGTGGATGAGAAGTTCTGCTGTGTGGAATGGAGCCATACAGCCAGTGTAGCTGGGAGCAGCATAGAAGCACTTGGCTTATGGCAAGACGTTTAGCTAGTAGCCTAAAGGCAGCTGTGGCCACAGGAGACTGTTAGGCAGAGGAGTTAGCACATAAGATTTGTTTGTTGTGAAGAGTTAGTGCATCAGTGTGGCTCCCAGGCTGGAGCAGGGAGAAGGCACAGTGCAGGGAGGTCAGCTGGGATGCCCTTCCCACAGGGAAGGCAGATTAGATCAGATGAGAGTACATTTCTTTCTCTTTCTTTTTGGCAGTAGAAGGATTTGAACTCAGGGCCTCACACTTGCTAAGCATGCTCTCTACTACAGCCCTTTTTTGCCTTGGTTGTTTTTCAGCTAGGGTCTTGTGGTTTTGCTCCTGGTCTCTCAAGTACATGGGGCCACAGGCCTGAGGCACAGCGTCCAACTTATTTGTTGAGACAGAGTGTTTCTACAGGCTGACCAGGTGGCTCCCCACCCAGCCTCAGAGTAACATTTCTGAAGTAAAACTGCTTGTCATTCTGAACAAATACATGTGAACATTTCAGAAGGAGTCAAAAATGACTTCCACTTGGGAGGCTGCCGCAGAAGGACCGTGAGTTCTAGGGTTGACCCTGTCTCAAAAAAAAAAAAAAAAATACTTACTTACCAGTTTCTACTTGGGGAGGCTGGAGGTCTACGACTGCATTCACTGAAAGGAAGAGTGCAGAGAGTGAGTCGGTCACAGACAATAAGCTCAATAGGAAATCACTACAACCTGGGGTAATCAGAGAAAAAGGATGAAGTTTGATTATTTAAAATAAAAAATTTTTAAAAAGGCATTTGTCAATGTGAGGGGAGCAAATACTTCATGTATAGTCAGTGGAAAAGTGAACTGGAATTCCGGTTTTGGAGAGCTGGGTTTTTTTTAGACAGGGTCTCAGTCTATGGCCCAGAGTGGCCTTGATCTTGTCATCCTCCTGCCCCAGCTTCCTGAGGGGTGAGATTTCAGGTTTGTGCCACATATTTGGCTTGGAGAGCTATATTTGAATGCAAAGAAGAAAGGATAAATGCAAATTTGTTGATCACATATGATTCAAGGCCACACTCAGGATCTCTGTCTGTGTTATCTCTTCTTGGAAGAAGAAAATGGCTGGATGATTTGAGCAGGGAATGGTCTGGCTAAAATTGGAATGTAGAGACACGAGCCTGTTTTGGTGGTGACACATGGATTGACTAGAGCATGTATCCTCAGTGAGAGCCACACTGCCCCCAAGAAGGTGAAAGTGGGTTCTTGACAGCTTGTGTCCTTCTGCAGGATCTCACTACCTAGACAGATACACAGTAGACCTGGTAGGATTAACATTTTAGGGATGGGGTGGTTATGGGAAAAGTACCCTGGCTCCTTATGGAGGCCATAATGCAAACAAAAATATTGGCTCAGAAGGAAGAGACTTGAAGCATAGAGATCGTGCTGGGTGGTAGGATATAGGGAAGGGACAAGATGGCCATGGTAGGTGTCAAAAGAGTGGGTGAAGTGGTACACACCTGTAATCCCAGCCTCTCAGGAGGGAGGTACAATGAATCATGTTTCAAGACCAGCCTGGGCAAAAAATTAGTAAGACCCTATCTCAAAAACAAGCTGGGTATATCAGGACATGTCTATAATTCCAGCTACTCAGGAGGCAGAAGGAGAATGGAGGTCCAGTGTTCACTGGGGCAAAAGCGCAAAACCCTATCTGAAAACAAAGTACAAACAAAAGGACTGATGACGTGGATCAAGTGGTAGAGCTCCTGCCTGGCCCTCAATTCCCAGTACCACCAAAGCACTCACTTCCCGGTACCACCAAAGGAAAACAAGAGAGATTTGCAACAGAATAAACAGGGCATGGCAGGCAGTTGGATATGAGAGAAAAGGTGAGGGTTGAATCAAAATTACTTCTAGGATTTAAAACTTGGAGAAATGTAGAGCTGGGTACAAACAGGGAAGCTTGGAGAAAGGTTTTGGTAAGAACTGAATTCACTCAGAGCTGGACATTTTGAGTTTGTGAGAAGTTCAAAGATGAAAATGAAAAATTCCACTCACCAGCTGGAAGTACGGCATTTTGGGGTTCTTTCTGTATGACAGTGGTGTTAACGCTAACAGCACGCAATTGGTGGAAGCGTAAAGGTAAGGGGAAAGTTCGCATCACCAGAAGCCAAAGAAGGTACCTACTCACCCAAATGACAGAATTCATGTTCTCAATTCTACATACTGGATTTAACCAGCTGAGCTAAGGAAAGCTCAGCAGTAAAAGTTCTTTTAACAGTTTTATTGAGATATTGTTGACATATAAAAAATTATATATCCTTAAGGTATACAACTTAATGCTTTGATATATGTATCTGTTGTGAAATGATTACGTTTAAGCTAATAACATATCCATCACCTCTGCAACAACTTGTGTGTGCATGCATGAGTGTTAGGAAGGCTTAAGATCTAGCCTTTTAACAAATTTCAAGTATGCAATGAAGGATTGTTAACAGTTGTACCATGTGACCAGCGACTCCCCATTCTTCCTTGATCATCTCATTCCACCCAGTCACTACCCTAACACAGTCAACCATTAATTTGGCATACATGGGTCTAGGTTTTTTCCCCTGTATACCTGCATACAGCTGATGACTTTAACTTACAAAAATGAGTTTGCTTTGTACCAGTGGATTACTTGATTCACAAGCAGTAGAAACAAAACTGTGGCTGACTTAAGCACCAAAAGGAATTTCCCAGAAGCTCTGGGTTAGGTGACAGCTGAAGAATGGAAGCAGAAAAGATGAAGAGCCTGCCACACTGGAAGAGCACTTCCCATGACATAGAGGACAAGTGTTGACAGACACTCCACGCTCTGCCGTTTGGACATATCTCCTCCCACCACAGTCATCTTTGTATCATTTCCTGCGAGACTCTTCCTAGGCGAGAGACCTTCATTGATGATGTACCCACCCCTTGCTCTCAAGAGCCTCTGATTCCAGATAGGGTGGAGTAGTTTCTCAAAGTACAAAAAAAAAAAAAACCTGAGCCTGCAGAAAGCAGCAGGCACCCACCACAATGAGGCCTTTCCCTGTTTTTCTTTCACAATGTGCCACATTGAGCACTAGTCCATTCTTCATAACCTCATAGGGTTTTCTTATATGGCTGTCAGATCATTTATTTCATCAGGCACTTTTACAGTATTTCTAACAATGCTGTAGAAACATCTTTGTACATACATAAGTATTTTTAGGGATTACAGGTATAGCTTAATGGTAGAGCACTTGCCTAGCATATCCTGGTTCCATTCCCAGCACCACAAAAATAAATAAGTAAATACTTTTACACATATACAAGTATTTTTGTAGGATGTTTCTCAGTAGAAGAATTTCTAGGTCAAGGAGTTCTATGAAAAGTTTTAAATATCACCAGGACTGGTGGTGAAGCTCAGTAGAAGAGCACTTGAGCACATTCACAGACCCTGGGTTCTATCTCCAGCACTGCAAAAAAATTCTCATGATTGCCTTCTACGGCTTTATATTCTCACCAATAAAATCTAAGAGTGCCCATCTTTCCCAGTATTCTTGCCTAAACTGTATATTAGCAATCCTTTTAATTAATGAAAGCATGTAGACTGGCAGAGCTTCTGCCTCACTCACCATGCACGCACAGGCTTCACCCTTTTTAGCCAGCTGTTGAAATGAAGATGTGAAACTAAGAAAAAGATCACAGTCTAGCAGCAGTTCCCTTGGAAAGTTTGAATTCTAACCCAGGTGTGGTGGTACCCACCTGTAATGCCAGCTACTTGGAAGGCTAAGGCAGGAGGATCAAGTTTAAGACAGCCTGAGCAACTTAGTGAGACCCTGTCCCAAAATTAAATTTGAAAAAAGTGCTGGGGATGTAGTTCAAGTGGTAGAGCACTTGTCTACCATGTGTGAGGGCCCTGGGTTCCACGCCCAGTGCCACAAAAAAAAGTTTGAATTCTAGTTTTTACTCAGTTTCAGTAGCGATTAGAATAAAATTTTACATGAGTGAAATTAGCTGCTTTTAAAAGAAGCCACAGGCAGGTGCAGTGGCTCATGCCCATTCTCCCAGCTACTCAAGAGCTGGGAGATCAGAAGGATTGCTGTTCCGGGTCAGCCTGGTAAAAAGTTAGCAAGACTGCATTACAGCAAACAAGCCAGGAAAACAAATAACCCACATCTATAATCACAGCTGTGCAGGAGGAGGAGGTAGGAGAATCACTGTCTGGTCTGAGGTTGGTCCTGGGCTAAAAGCACAAGACCTTATCTGAAAAATAACCAAAGCAAAACGGGCTGGGGGTGGCGCTCGTGTGGTAGAGCACCTGCCTAGCAAGTGCAAGGCCATGAGTTCAAACCTCAGTACTGACAAAAATACAAAAACAAGAAAGTAAAGAAGCCACTATTACTTCTGCTGGAACTCAGAGTGCTTTGAACAGTTAGGGAAGAGGATGGCACATTTTAGCCAGCAGTTAGAGTCACATAAAGTACAATAGTGCTTAGGGACCATCTTGTATGAAAAGCTCATGCATTTGAACCCAGAGCTCACTCTCACTTGGTGAGATAGGCCTTGATGGCATTAGTGGGCAGAGTCACCTGTACCCTCAGGTTCATTTTGTTTATTTCTTCTTGGCTCATTTTGCTGAATGTGAGCTCCAGAGGCCTGTGGCTCTACTGTCTATTTCATCATCTGTACAAATAAAGAGACCATTGCATCGGGTCTAGCTGGAGCAGAGGAGTTCTTCAAAATATAGTACCATAGACTGAAGAAGTAGCAGGAAAAAAAGATGTTTGTTGGGACATGTTTTCATGGAAAATGTTGCAAACCTAAACCCCTGAATTTTAGCCTCAGTTCTGCTTTATGGGGGTTATCTGACCTAATGTCAGTCCCTCCATTCTCAAGTGCCTTACCACCACATTTAAATCTTTGCCATTGGGACTTCGTGAGGTATGTGAAGTAATTTTAAAAATTGGGAGCCAGGCCTGGTGGTGTGGTCCCAGCTACTCCAGGGCCTTGACAGGAAGATTGCTTAAGCCCTGGATTTGAAACCAACTAGCCTGGGCAACACAGCCTGGTTTTTTCAGTCTCAAAAAACCAGAAAGCACATTGCACATTATTATGTAGGTACAGCATTGGGCTGCTAATAAGGTGAATAATAGTTTTCCCATGGTTTAAAATATTATAGACGGCAACTAAGATACACAAATTAATAAGATAAAGGACCAGTCTACACACTGTAACAGAAAAAACATTTCAGTACCACGTTTCTCTCTCTTCTAACAACTTATAAACACTAGATTGAAGATACTATGTGCCAGATATACATTTCTGGATGCAGGAAAACAATAACGTTTTTTTATTATTGAAGCTTTTTGTTATGGTCTTTGATGTCACCTTCACAAGCGTGGTACTTAGCAGGGACCAATATCCTTACTTTACCCTGAAGAAACTAAAGTGTTGATACGATTCTTGGCCACAGTCAAGGGGGCAGCCAATGCTGACACCCTCCTGAGCCCACTGTTTTCCCATGGACTCCCAAACCTCAGCACATGGCAGAAGAAGCTGGGTAGCTTGTAGATCTCTCATAACCCAGGTAATTTTTATGCAGGTGTTCTTCAGTATGCCAAGCCAGTCCTCTTAAACAAAGAGAAGCACCTACTTTCCCCAAATAGCATTTGCTTGTTCTGGGTTTTGTTTTTTTACAAACAAACAGAATGTCCCCATTCTGCCCCCTCCCTGGCCCCATGAGTATCAGGGTTCTGGGGAACACGGATTCAGTTTGGACTTGTCAGTCTGGGAAAATTGAGGGATAAATGCCTGATATCTGGACCCCTGGAACTGTAGGATGAAAATGATACAATGACCTCAGAACAACTCAGAACAGGCTCTTTCCTTGGCTCAGCTTGGCTCTCCTGGCCCTTGTCTAGAAGAGCTAGGCTCACTTTTCTTTGGTGCCACCTAGGGGCCAGTTACTGATCTCTAGAAGAAGAAATTTGGTGGTCCAGGTAAAGAGAATAAATAAAACAAGGAAAAGAAAAACACAGAAGATAGAGAAAGATGCTCTTTTATATCTTTTATTCTTTGAAACATTTAAGTTGTGTTGCTACTTTAGCTGTTTCCCTCCATGAAGGTATACCATTCCCTGCTCTATCCCCTGTGCCTACCTCAGTGTCCAACACACAGCAGCTCTGCAAATGTTTGCTGGATAAATAAATGAAAGGTTTGTGACTGTGCTGTGGTACTAGAAGCTGTGCTGTTTTAAGAACTTCCCTTCAAGTGCACAAGAGGACCAGGTGCACAAGAGGACCAGGTACACAAGCCATTTTCAGGTGCACCAGTGTGCCCACGTTACTAACATTTCTGTGAACATTCTGGGCTTGCATTTCTCCTACGGTGGAGGCCATCTGAGAAGAGAGGCAGCCTGTTGTTCTGACTTAAAGTCCAGCTCAAGCTTTGTCCTTTCCTTGACCTTTGTCAATAATGCCACCCTTCTCAGAAAGTTTAGAGCAGTAACCTCTTCCCCTCATAGAACTCATCCAGTCCAGCCTTGCTTTCTTTTAAACTTGCACACAGAACTTACTTCCCTGTTTTAATTAACATTCTTTTGCTTGGATGTTCACTGAATTTATTTGGGCTCGATTAAGCCCAGGGCATTTCTTATAAAAATACAAGAATATCTCATGAAACTCAATGGCAGTAATACAGCTCAACTGAAAGGTGGGCTGAGAGCCAGTCAGAGAACTTGAGCATGAATATGTTCCCCCTCTTTTCATTCTTCTTGCTCTGAAGTCGGTTTTCTCAAATCCTCGGCCCCCATAGTAGCAGATGACCAACCATATAGGGATTTGTAAATGTCCATCAGTTCCAGCCATCCCTGAGATTAACTGACTCTGAATGTCAACTCCAAATTCCTGGGAGAGGAAAGAGTTTCAGTCAGCCTTGAGCCCAGCCTGTCCTTCAATAAATGTCTGTTACACTTCCCTGTTAGAGTGTTAGCAAGTCAAGGACAAAACTCATGGCTTAAGCAAACATTTGTATGTGTCAGGTGGTGAAGCATGCCTGTAATCCCAGCTATTCAGGAGGTGTAGGCAGAAGGTCTCGAGTTCAAAGCCAGCCCTGGCAAAGTTATCAGTGAAATCCTATCTCAAAAAACAAAATACAAATGAAAGAGCTGGAGCCTGGCTCAAATGGTAGATCACTTGCCTAGCATGAGGGAGGCCCTGGTTCAAACCACAGACTCACAAAACATAGGGTTCAAGTCTTTACATAGAGTATATTTAGAAAATATTCTTGAATTGGTAAATGAAAAACTTTTGCCCAACTTCCTCTTTTCTCATTTGCTTCAACAAGGAAGGAGAGAGAAAGTGTCAGACAGGCATGAATAGATCTGAAAAGCAGAGTGTTTGGATCTAGAAATGACCAGGCAATCTGTGGTGGAAGAGATGAAAGGAGAGAGACCTCCTGTGCTTTTCCCAGCATGCCCCAAACTCAGAGTTTAGCAAATAGGTAACCAGCCTGCTTCTGATATGTGCAAAAGGAGTATTTCCCAGAAAGCTTAAAACATTACAGACATTAGCGGTGTAATGAAGTTTACTAGAATCACTTGGAGAACCCTTTAACATTAACACCAGGGCCCTCCCCAAACAATTAACAGAATTTCATGTTGTGGGATTTGAGCTTCATACGTTCATATGACTTTAATGGGAAGCCAGGGTGGAGAGCCATATTTCAACATTTATTTACAGCACAACACATCAGCTAACTAAGGCTCACAGCAGCTCTGTGAGGTAGGAGGAACTCGGTGGAATTATTCTATTTTACAAACATTTTGTACATAGTGCAGTTGTAACTACTGTGAAGTTGCCCATCTTGTGAGTGGTGGACACACAAACAGAACCTGGAGCTCCAGATACTGTTTATCTAATCTCGTTAAGTCATGCTGCAAACACAAATGGCTTTAAGAGCCTGTTTGCAGTCCATTCCTTGCCATCTCCCACTAAGCTGCAGGTTCCTTCCAGTTCCCCTCCACTTATCTCTTTGTGTTCATCTTTTGTTCTGGAATGCAGGAACTGAACAAGAAGAGGACGCAGAAGGAGATGGAGCACGCCATGCTAATCCGGCATGACGAGTCTACCCGAGAGCTGGAGTACAGGCAGCTGCACACGTTACAGAAGCTCCGCATGGATCTGATCCGTCTACAGCACCAGACTGAGCTGGAAAACCAGCTGGAGTACAATAAGAGGCGAGAGAGGGAACTGCATAGGAAGCACGTCATGGAACTCCGGCAACAGCCCAAAAACTTAAAGGTGAGAGCAAAGAGAGACAGGACAGAGTGGGACCGGACTGAGGTCCCCATGCCTGAGTGTCAGAGTCACCTGGTCCTCATGCCCACTGGCTCAGAATCTCCAGCCCGTAAAGTCCAGGAGTCTGTGTTCAACAAGCCAGGCGAGCTGTTTTCAAAACCATCCTGCTGCGTGGCCTCTCAGTTTTTCTTTTTATTCCTTTACGTGGTGCTTTGACGTCATTGGTGACCTGTCCTCTCTAGAAGTGGACATAGAGCAGCCTGTGGTTCCCATCCCAGAAAATGAGGAAGTTGTATTGGTAGCAGTTACCTTGAGGGCTGCTGTGACTTGGGAGTGAGGTCTGTCACAGGCCCAGGAATTGGGATGGTGCCAGTGGCTCCCACTAATCCCACTGCCCTCCAGCTAATTCTAGCAGACCCCTCGTTAACAAGCTCTGCACACTAAGCCATTGGTGTGTGTGAGGGAGGACGTGGTCAGTGTTGGCAAAGATATGAGGTCACCTCAGTCTCACTGGCCATGTATGTGCCAGTTCTAGCCAAACTCCTAGCTGTCCAATTAGTGTGTCCTGTCACCAGAAGTCCTCCAAATGTTCATAAAATGCACACATGTCCCTGGCCAGCCTGATGGAGTGCCTTCTGACCTTAACAGCACACTCCTTTCCCCCTTGCAAATTGGATGTCAGCACAGCTGGTGCTAAAATCCAGTGCAAATGTGTTGGGATATGACATTATCCAGATGTTTCCCTTTATTGATTTGCCAAGGAAACACTTAAGTCACAGCCATGAGAGCTGCTTATATAATGCCATCCCCTTTCTTCCCTGGAAACGGGGAAAGGGTGCATGCCCATGCACACACAAAGAAAGAAGAATAACAGTAGAAAACACTAAGGACTTTGACTAAAATCATGAAGGTAGTTGCCAACCTTCCACCAAGCTAGGCTTCGTAATATTCCCCAGTCTGGACAGAGTCATCATCCCCTTGTTACAAGGCCATTTGTAAGTTCAAAATTCCTTCTGTTTGTTTGATATTAAACGAAAAGCAGTGATAGCGCTCACCCTAGTCTGTGTCACCCATGTTTCTTCTATGATTGCTGACTGGCAAGGTGGGTGGGTCACTGCACCAAAAGCCAGGTGGTCCCAGCACTGGTACTGTGTCGTTGTAACAGAGGGTTCTCTGTATCAACTGACATATCTTGATTTTTCTCTGTCACTTTTCTCTAACAGGCCATGGAAATGCAAATTAAAAAACAGTTTCAGGACACTTGCAAAGTACAGACCAAACAGTATAAAGCACTCAAGAATCACCAGTTGGAAGTTACTCCAAAGAATGAGCACAAAACAATCTTAAAGACACTGAAGGACGAGCAGACGAGAAAGCTTGCCATCCTGGCAGAGCAGTATGAACAGAGCATAAATGAGATGATGGCCTCTCAAGCGGTAAGTGGGTAGGTTTGGTGCCACGCTTCAAGAGCTTTGAGATTCAAGAAAATTCAAGATCCAGCCTTTTGTTCCCAAGATCCTCCTTACACAAAGTTAGGATATTGGTGTTTTTCCACCCGAAGACCTGAGGAAGTGACGACGCAGAATAAAACCACACCTGTGCGGATACTTTCTGAAGTGTCTATAAGATGGAACTCAAGGAATAGCTTGCTAAACCAGCCCGGGGGCACATGGGGGTCTTTGAGGGCAAGATTGATAGATACGGTGTGTGATGTCATGTCTCACTCATCAGAGGTTCACCAACCACCATCCCCAACTAACGTCAGGCACCAATCAGTGGCCTTGTTCCTGTCTTTATGGGGTTCCCAGTCAAGTGACGAGGACAGGCACACAGACACTTAAGTCAATAAACTTTGGCTGAGACTCTGTGTCCAGCACTGTGCTGGGCTTAGAGTGAGGAGCTAGGTAGAGCAGGGGTCTGTGCCCTCCCACATAGGAGTTCAGATAATTAAGCCACGGTGACACAGCACAGTGAGTGTTGAAGCAGGAGGCACAGGGCTATAGCAGGACAAGCAGGGACAGTGAAGCTGTCTGAGGAAGCCAAGAGGCCTAGAGAAAGTCACTGAAGTAAACAGGCTCCCTGAAAAGGGACCTACTTAGGCAAAGGCCCAAAGGTGGCAAGTGTGCACCTGGGCCCCGCAAGCATGGTTGAGAGCCCAGTATTTAAGGATCAGGCTGGGTGTGGTGGTGCACACCTGAAGTGCCAGTACCTGGAGGCTAAAGCAGGAGGATCAAAAGTTCCAGGCCAGCCTGGCTCTATAGCAAGACCCTGAACCAGTAAAACAAGGGCTGAGGATGTAGGTCAGTGGCAGAACTCCATCCCAGCATGCACAAGGGCCTGAGTTCCATCTCAGCAGTAACAGAAAGAAAGAAAAAGAACAGGAACCCCAAGAGGCAAGGTCAGAGAGGCCTTGGGAAGCCAGGGATAGAGCTGCCTGGAAATTCGGTTTCTCAAGGAAATGAATCTTAATCAGCACTAGTTTACTACAGGCTCAGAGGAAAAGTTAGTCTTAGCAGAGACCTGAGAGACGGTGGTGTATTGAAGAAGCAATGAGCAGCAGGCCATGGCCGGGGTAGAAAGTGCTCTTTTAATGAATGCAGTGGCTAGTCAGGGGTCAGATCCTCAAAAGCAGGAGTTTGGTCATCACCCCATAGGCAAAGGGGAGCTGCCAGACCTCGTTAAGAAGGAGGATAATGGTTCGGTGTGTGTTAGAGGAAGGTGCTGGCAGTTGGGCAGTAAATAGAGGTAAGAGACCTGGTAGGAAGCTACTGGAAGAGTCCAGAAAAAATGATGAAGGGGTCTGGGGATATAGTTCAGTGGTTCAGTGTTTGCCTCGCATGCATGAGTTCAATGTCCAGTGCTACAAAAAAAAAAAAAGATGAAGGCCTGAACTGAGAGAAAGCACCCTGGGCTTAGGGTGGAGCTTAGTGGTAGAGTTCAAGCTTATTGTGTGGGGTCCTGGGTTCAAGCACTAGCACCAGAGTGAGGTGGGGAGAGAGATGCTAAAGGCAATGGCGAGGAGGGAAGGACTTGAGAAATACTTAGGAAGTGCAATAGACAGAACTTAGTGACCAGTTTGAAAGGTCGGTTTGACAATAGACTACAATAATCACCATTTTACCAAGATAGAAAAGTAGAAGGAGTCTGGAAGCCTAGGAGAGTGTCTGAGCTGCACTGGTGTCCATGCAGAAAGGTACATGGACATGGAAATATACAATTCCCAAGGGATGTCAGGAAAAAAGATAAAATATTCAACTCCATTGCCCTGTGGGGCCAGTTGTAGCTGCTGGGGCAGAAGGTAGAATTAGTGAGGAAGGAGACTCAGGACAGTGTCTGGTGGATACCAACATTTGAGGCCCACTTAGAAACAGACCAAAGAAGAACACATGGGAGGGGAACCAGGAGAGCATGTCACAGACACCCGAGCAAAAGCTCTAACTGAAGATTTCAGATGTGCAGAGACAAGCTAGAATAATAAACTTTGAGACCCTTCCCTGGGTTTAGCAGTGGGTTTGTCCACTGCTTGTCACAAATATCTGTAGAGCAGTGGGAATGAGAGACATTATAGTGCATTGAAAGAGTGACTATGAAGGAGAAGACATGGTGGTACATGCCTATAATCCCAGCTAACAGGGAGGCATAGGTAGGAAGATCACTGTCTGAGGCTGCCTGGGCAAAAGCATGAGGTCCTATCTGAAAAATCAACTAGATCAAAAAGGACAGGGGGGTGTGGCTCAAGTGGTAGAGTGCACAAGGTCAATAGTTCAAACCCCAGTTCACCAGAAAGAGAAACTGTGAGACTGCTTTCCCCAGATCTTCGTCAGTGAAGGGAGACAATTTAAGAAAGATTGTCAACTGGGTGAAGCTTGCACATGTTCTCGGGCTGAGGGTGGGAGCTGGGCGCTCGTTGATTCATTCATTCACGCATTCATTCAACAAGTGTTTATTGAGTGCCTTCACCGTGCCCCAGGAATACCACAGAGAAAAAGACAGCAGTGAGGTCCTTGTGGAATTTATACAAGAATGGAGGAAACCAGCATTGGAAAAGGCCACGCTGGGTAACAGCAGAGCAAGTGCAAGAAGCCAGCAGCGTGCACACAGGAGAGCTAGGCAAGTCTGGAGTTGGGAGCAAACTCAGTGGCACATTATTTAAGCTGAGGAGCAGTAGGTACAGGATGGAAGGCAATGTACCTTTGAAGAACTCAGTGTAGAAGGGGACAGCTTGAGAATAAGACTGGAAGGTAGACAGTAGACAGAATGGGTCACAAAGAGCCTCAAAGGTTTTGAGAATGCTTACACTGAGACATCATCGAGCATTGTTAAGCAGGGGCCTGGTATCAGATGTGAGTTTTTAGATGATGGCTCGGTGACTTGTGGAGAATGGCCCAGGGTTTGGCAAGAGCAGATTTAAAGAGATCACTGCCTTTCCTGTGCACCAGGGAGTGGTGGCCGCACCAGAAGTGTCAGTCAGGAGGTGGCCAAATTTGAGAGGCTAGCAAGTCAAGAGCACTTAGTGGCAGGTTGGGGGTAGAGGGAGGTTTGGAATGACTTCCACCTCTGGTTTGAGCCATTTACTGATGTGTGAACAGGGAGATGGAACAGACTGGGAAGTGGGAAGGGAACATGGCAAGTTAATGTTGTGTTGAGCTCCAGCTGGGAAACCCCCAGGTGAGATGTAGACTGGATAAGCTAGCGCAGGCGTCAGACAGGAAGTCTGAGCAGAGGCTTAGATGCATGCTAGATGGCAGCTGAATCTTCAAGAGTACGTGAAATTCCTTAGGAAGAGGGGTTAGAGGAGGAGGAGGGCCCAGGATCAAGCCCTAAGGAGCAGCTGCATTTAATGAGGTCCCACAGGTAGGACTACTGGAAAGGGGCAAGCAGGGCAGGGAGGAGAACACCAAAAAGTGCTTGTGGGGTCTCAGAGGGCAAAAGAGGTGCCAAGCATAAGGGTGAGGAATTCCAAGGAAGGGGCCGTCAGCAGTGCCAATGCTGCTGGAAGGTCACGTGAGATAGGACTACACAGAGGTCCTTAGCGTGAGCAATGTAAGTAGGGGGTCAGATGACAATGAGCGGAATGTGGGGGTGCTGAGAGGTGAGAGGCAAGGATGAGGGGAGAGCATTGTTAGGGAAACAGCAGCAGGTAGACTTCTCATCAATCTTTGTATTCTTAGCATCTGTGCCAATGTCTGGCATGCAGCAAGTGTCCAATGAGTGCTTATCACATATGGTGGGAGAAAATGGGATGAGTAATGCAGGTTCATGATCTTGAATAGCAGAAGAGCGATCAACTTTCTTCTGAAACAGGGAGGAAGTCACAGCTTTTCTTCCTGACCCCGTGCCGGGTGCCATCTTGAAAGCTTCATGGGCAAGAGTGCATTTCATTTTTGTTAAAGCCCTTTGAAGGAGTGAGGGTTAAACCCTAACTTGACGGTGAGGAACCTGAGGCTCCCTGAAGGAAAGGTGCTTCGAGTTAGCTCCTACTCAGGCAAGGACTTGGCAAACTTTTTCTGTTAATATTTTAAGCTTTGTGGACCGCAGGTCTCTGTCAACAACTTCTGCCACTGCGTTGCAGAAGGAGCCATAGATAACACGCAAATGAGTGAACCTGTGGTTAATAAAACTTTATTTGTAAACACAGGCAGCAGTCCACATTTGGCCCATGGGTTACAGTGTGCCAACCCCTGGCTTAGGGGGTTCACAGAGCTAATTAGTGTAGAGCCAGGGCTGAAACCCATTCTGGGGGAGCCTGCGAGCCTGTGGTGTAGCCACGCTATGGTATGCTACCCCCGTCTGTTTCTAAAAAGCAGATGTGACATTTATCTGTAATCTGGTAATAACTTTTGAATGGATTTGGGATGTGTAACTTTAGGTGATAAGTACCAAATCCTGGAATGTCCTCTGATTTCCAGCACTGGGACTTGGACAGTGGAGCTGGTACTGCTCGTACTTTCTGACAATAATAAGAAAATGCCAGAAACAAGACACTGAGATGTCTTCTCAGCTGCTTACTTCTCAGGGCTTCTAGCAGCTAATACAGATGAGCAGAAAAGAATAAAGTTGTCATTTTCGTTACTGGTCAGGAACCTCCCATACCAGAGAGAGCCGATTGCAGTCTTCCCCAGGAGCCACAGAACACTTTGGTGTTCATCTGGTAGGCTATCCTGTTGTAGTCTGACTGCTCTCGGCTCCAGCATCTCCTCCCTTCATTTGGCATGGGGAACAGAAGGGAGCGGTCTGAACTCCTCAGTGGGTTTTAACAAAAGCCATTAGGATTAATTATCAGAAGGCACCTTGGAAATACGATGACATAACTTACTCATGTTCTTTTAAACTCTACTGTGTATGTCTCCAGAAGTACTAAAGAAGATCCTCCACAAATAACTTACTAAAACTATTGTAACATTTCACAAATTCATTTCTCCACCCAGAATTTGTGATAGATTGTTAGTTGTCACAAATTGTAGATAAGGTAGGGAGTGAGTATCTGTGTGGAAGCCTGCTGATAACTTAGGGTAGACCAAATTGTCTAATTCTGGATTTCTAATATCACAGTTCTCAGCCAAACTGAGAAACAGCTGTCTGTGGACAGAACCAACCTAGGATGGGGGCCATAGCCCCTAGGCGTTGTCCTGCTGTGGGTCAAAGCTTCCGTCTCTGTGAGGTGGCTGCTTGGCACTTGTGCAGGCTGGCTTGGCCCATTTCCCACATAAGATCTGGCATGTTGGCCCCAAGTTCAGCTGTTGCTGTAAGGAGAGGAAACTTGGCCAGGCTGCCTTTATAACCTAGACTTCTTTTTTTTTTTTTTTTTATTCATATGTGCATACAAGGCTTGGTTCATTTCTCCTCCCTGCCCCCACACCCTCCCTTACCACACACTCCGCCCCCTCCCTCACCCTCCCACCCCCTCAATACCCAGCAGAAACTATTTTGCCCTTACTTCTAATTTTGTTGTAGAGAGAGTATAAGCAATAATAGGAAGGAACAAGGGTTTTTGCTGGTTGAGATAAGGATAGCTATACAGGGCATTGACTCACATTGATTTCCTGTGCGTGGGTGTTACCTTCTAGGTTAATTCTTCTTGATCTAACCTTTTCTCTAGTTCCTGTTCCCCTTTTCCTATTGGCCTCAGTTGCTTTTAAGGTATCTGCTTTAGTTTCTCTGCGTTAAGGGCAACAAATGATAGCTAATTTTTTAGGTGTCTTACCTATCCTCACCCCTCCTCCCTTGTGTGCTCTCGCTTTTATCATGTGCTCATAGTCCAATCCCATTGTTGTGTTTGCCCTTGATCTAATGTCCACATATGAGGGAGAACATACGATTTTTGGTCTTTTGGGCCAGGCTAACCTCACTCAGAATGATGTTCTCCAATTCCATCCATTTACCAGCGAATGATAACATTTCGTTCTTCTTCATGGCTGCATAAAATTCCATTGTGTATAGATACCACATTTTCTTAATCCATTCGTCAGTGGTGGGGCATCTTGGCTGTTTCCATAACTTGGCTATTGTGAATAGTGCCCCAATAAACATGGGTGTGCAGGTGCCTCTGGAGTAACCTGTGTCACAGTCTTTTGGGTATATCCCCAAGAGTGGTATTGCTGGATCAAATGGTAGATCGATGTCTAGCTTTTTAAGTAGCCTCCAAATTTTTTTCCAGAGTGGTTGTACTAGTCTACATTCCCCAACAGTGTGAGAGGGTTCCTTTTTCCCCGCATCCTCGCCAACACCTGTTGTTGGTGGTGTTGCTGATGATGGCTATTCTAACAGGGGTGAGGTGGAATCTTAGTGTGGTTTTAATTTGCATTTCCTTTATTGCTAGAGATGGTGAGCATTTTTTTCATGTGTTTTTTGGCCATTTGAATTTCTTCTTTTGAGAAAGTTCTGTTTAGTTCACGTGCCCATTTCTTTATTGGTTCATTAGTTTTGGCAGAATTTAGTTTTTTGAGTTCCCTATATATTCTGGTTATCAGTCCTTTGTCTGATGTATAGTTGGCAAATATTTTCTCCCACTCTGTGGGTGTTCTCTTCAGTTTAGAGACCATTTCTTTTGATGAACAGAAGCTTTTTAGCTTTATGAGGTCCCATTTATCTATGCTATCTCTTAGTTGCTGTGCTGCTGGGGTTTCATTGAGAAAGTTCTTACCTATACCTACTAACTCCAGAGTATTTCCTACTCTTTCCTGTATCAACTTTAGAGTTTGTGGTCTGATATTAAGACCCTTGATCCATTTTGAATTAATCTTGGTATAGGGTGATATACATGGATCTAGTTTCAGTTTTTTGCAGACTGCTAACCAGTTTCCCAGCAGTTTTCGTTGAAGAGGCTGCTATTTCTCCATTGTATATTTTTAGCTCCTTTGTCAAAGACAAGTTGGTTATAGTTGTGTGGCTTCATATCTGGGTCCTCTATTCTGTTCCACTGGTCTTCATGTCTGTTTTTGTGCCAGTACCATGCTGTTTTTATTGTCATTGCTTTGTAATATAGTTTGAAGTCAGGTATTGTGATACCTCCTGCATTGTTCTTTTGACTGAGTATTGCCTTGGATATTTGTGGCCTCTTGTGTTTCCATATAAATTTCACAGTAGATTTTTCAATCTCTTTAATGAATGTCATTGGAATTTTGATGGGAATTGCATTAAACATGTAGATTACTTTTGGGAGTATCGACATTTTTACTATGTTGATTCTGCCAATCCATGAGCATGGGAGATCTCTCCACTTTCTATAGTCTTCCTCAATCTCTTTCTTCAGAAGTGTATAGTTTTCCTTGTAGAGGTCTTTCACATCTTTTGTTAGGTTTACACCTAGGTATTTGATTTTGTTTGAGGCTATTGTAAATGGAATTGTTTTCATACATTCTTTCTCAGTTTGCTCATTGTTAGTGTATAGAAATGCTAATGATTTTTCTATGTTGATTTTATATCCTGCTACCTTGCTATAGCTATTGATGATGTCTAGAAGCTTCTGAGTAGAGTTTTTTAGGTCTTTAAGGTATAGGATCATGTCATCTGCAAATAGGGATATTTTGACAGTTTCTTTACCTATTTGTATTCCTTTTATTCCTTCTTCTTGCCTAATTGCTCTGGCTAGGAATTCCAGTACTATGTTGAATAGGAGTGGAGATAGTGGGTATCTTTGTCTGGTTCCTGATTTTAGAGGGAATGGTTTCAGTTTTTCTCCATTAAGTATAATGCTGGCTGTAGGTTTGTCATATATAGCTTTTATAATGTTGAGGAACTTTCCTTCTATTCCTAGTTTTCTTAGCGCTTTTATCATGAAATGATGTTGGATCTTATCAAAGGCTTTTTCTGCATCTATTGAGATGATCAAGTGGTTTTTGTCTTTGCTTCTGTTAATGTGGTTTATATAATCTAGACTTCATTGCAGAAAACTAGAATACACCTCAAAGATTATCAGACACCCCCTGTGGGAACAAATTTTGAGCCACCTGACTTTTGGATGGGCCAGCTATCAAGCTGACTTGTATGGTCAATGTCAGGTACCAACATGCTGTAACTAGATCATAGCAATACTGTGGCGTTCCTCAAACTTGATGGGTCTTTGGTTCATTTAAAGCAGAGCATTTTTTTATGGTTAAAAGTACCTAAATATGGAAATGGTGGAGAAAGGAAAATAATGGTAGGAACCACTATTTATTGAATGCTTAGCATACAGAGAACTATGCGTGGGGTTTTCTTGAATTCTTTCATTTAATCCTCACTAAGTTCAGACAGTAGGAACTAATATTGTAGTTTTCTTAAGAAAAAAAAAAAGATCTAGAGAGGTTAAGCAGTTGGCAAGGTGACAATCTAGGTGAATGGTGGAAGCAACCCTCCGGTCATGGCTCAGTCACTAGAGCCAAGTAGCCTCCCACACTTACTGCTGAGGTTTCAAGCCATCCTGAAAAGAATGGCTTTTTAGGACTTCACAGGTAACTGAATTACCAGGGCATCTGTTTTTCCCAGGGAACCCCTTTCAGTCCATACAAGGAGACCTCTCTAGTCATTCCCAAGAGGGGTGACCCAGGGCTTACAGGGTGTGTCTTCTGTGCCCACAGTTACGGCTAGATGAGGCTCAAGAAGCAGAATGCCAGGCCTTGAGGCTACAGCTCCAGCAGGAGATGGAGCTGCTCAATGCCTACCAGAGCAAAATCAAGATGCAGACGGAGGCCCAGCACGAGCGCGAGCTCCAGAAACTAGAGCAGAGGGTGTCTCTGCGCAGAGCACATCTCGAGCAGAAGGTATGAGAGTTCTGGCGGGGGTGGGGGGTGGGGGGTGGGAGGAGTGGATATCATGGCCTGGGGAGCTGCCCCTCATGGAGCCTTCCTTCACTTACTGTCTGCAGTGCTCCCCTAGAGCCCGAGAGGCAGGCACTGGCCCCATTCTTCAGGCCAGGGCACTAAGGCTCAGCCTCTTGGTAAGTCTGACCCCACAGCCTGAGCCTTCTGCAACAACGCTAGGAAGCTCTGAATCTTCACAGCTGGCTGTGTGGCACGTGGCTAATATGACATGTGAGAAGTCCATGGGCTGTCATGTCAGCAGGGTCACCAAATGGCACAAAAAAGCCAAGTGCAGATCTGGCGTTTCAGCTATTTTTAAGCCAAAAGCAAGCACTAGCAGGACTCTTAAAACAAGAATTAAAGTGAAACTAGGTCCATATTGCCATGCATAGTAAGTGACAGCCCTTTGAGATAAAAAACAGGGAAGAAAGACAATCAGGAGTCTCAAAGCTGGTGAGCAGTCCTATCCTGTCCCAGCCTGCTTCTGCAGCTACTGTCCTAGAATAAACTCCTAATGACCCTGGAGGCCCTGGCTTATCCCAGTGTGCTCTGTTGTCCTTTGGCTCCTTCTGAGACACGATGCTGACCTAGACCAGCCCAGCTGCCTCTCAGATGGTGTTGCTCCCCAAGCTGGGCCCCTGCGTTTTCATCCATGTAGCAAATTTGAGACCTGATGGATAAGACACAAGACATTTGTCACGGGACTCTCCAGCCTTCCATGGCTAGGTCACCCTCACTCCCGTGTGTGTCTCAGGTGCCCGTTGGGAGCCTCTATGCTAAGGCCTGCTCACTGGCTTGTTTCAGATTGAAGAGGAGCTGGCCGCCCTGCAGAAGGAACGCAGCGAGAGGATCAAGTTCCTCCTGGAAAGGCAAGAACGAGAGATGGAAACCTTTGACGTGGAGAGCCTCCGGATGGGGTTTGGGAATTTGGTTACATTAGATTTTCCTAAGGAGGACTATAGATGAGATTCAATTTTTTGCCATTTACAAAAAAAAAAAAAAAGAAAACAAAAAAAGTTCAGACCCTGCAAAACCACATTCCCCATTTTAACGGGCGTTTCTCTCACTCTCTCTCTCTCTCTCTCTCTCTCTCTTACTCTTACTGACATCGTGTCGGACTAGTGCCTGTTTATTCTTCCTCCATCAGGGGCCCCTTCCTCCCCCGTTGTCAACTTTCAGTGCTGGCCAGAGCCTGGCCGTCTCTTCTATTCATGGTACACGTCACAGTGTTGATGTGATTCAAAATGTTTCAGTGAAAACCTGGGAGACACTTTTAACAAAACCAATAAACCACAGTAACAACAAAAAAAAAGTGGATGTATATTGCTTTAAGCAATCAGTCTTTACTACCAATCTGTGAAAATGAAGCAAAAAAATAATAATATGAATAAAGCGAATGCCAAGGGGGAGAGAGACTGTATCCGCAGCCTTACACCTTAACTCGCTGCTGCATTCTTTTCTTTTCTTTTCTTTTTTTGGTATTTATTCATCAGGAATTAAAAAAAAAAAAAACAAAGTTTTATTAAAGATTGAAAATTTGATACATTTTACAGAAACTAATTGTGATGTACATATCAGTGGTGACATATTATTACTTTTTTGGGGTGGGGGTGGGTGGGGTGAAGAAATCTTGTGATTTTTAAGAGCCTGCTGGCAAGAGTTTAACTTGTCTTGGGCATATTCTGTATCATAGCCATTTTCTGCTGTTGCAGGAGATGTGAGTACACTTAAGGAGCCCACAGACTCCCAGTAGCACAGATTGGGCTTTGGCAAATCGTGTATTTTGTGTATAGAAGGAATTTAAGGAGAGGTATTACTTATTTTCATATTGTATTTTAACTGTTTCTCTGATCAAATTTTTTTACTTCCTCCTCCTGTTCCTCCCCCGCCCCTACCTCCCTCCTTTTCCAATTCAGTATTTGGAGTTCAACACTTGTCTCTCAGTCAGATCACCTCGACCTTTTTCTTTATTTCCCTTCCCCTTCCTAAGTCCCATCTCTTGGTCATAAATATTGCATTATTCACACTTTCAAACTGTGTATTTTCTTACAATAAAAAATGATGAAAAAAAAAAGGCTTTACTTCTTTTGCATGCACTTTAAAAAAAAACAAAACAAAACATTTTTCAGGTTCCAAGGAAGAGCATGATAACTGTCAGAGCTTTTAATTATATTTGTAAATAAAAGTGTTCATCACATCATCTCGCTGTGTTCTTGTCCCAGGAGAATTGTTTTTCAGGTCCAGTAGGGGGTAACGTGGGGAGATGGCCACACGCCCCAAACCAGGCTCATGCCCTCATCTGCTCCGCCAAGGCTCGGTTCAAGACTGTTGGTTAAAGCTGTGTCTTCCAGGTTCCTGCTGTGCTGGTTAATACGCAACCACCTGTCAACTGCACACACCGTGTACACGCATGGAGAGACAGAGGCAAGCATGAGCGTGCATTGAGGAAAGTTGGACTCCCTTTTAAAAATAGCCAGCTACAGAGAAGGCACAACAACCAAATTTTCAGACCCCTGAAATGTGGCTCCCCCTTCCCGTGAATTCCTTTATTAGAATAATCTCTTATGTATAACAATGATAGTAGTAGCTATAACTCTGGGATATGGTTTTTGGGGTTGAGGCAATCTCAGTAAGGTCTTACGTTCTTAGATCTCAAAGTTCCCAGGCTTTGAAAATTGAATTCAGGGGTGGGCTCCATAGTCGCTAGCATCCTGAAACCATATGCAGCTTTCGTTTCATGTTTTGCAGTGCTGAGGATCGAACCCCAGCCCTTTACATGTCAGGCACATGCCCTACCACTAAGTTACACCTCCAAGATGTTCTTTATAATGATGACTTGAAGGTCATTGTATCCTAAAGAAGGTTCAGTTATCAGACAAATGTAACTCGTCATTCTCTGATAGACTAGAGAAGAAAAGCATACTCCTAAAATAACAGAAGTTATCAACCATAAAGCTGTTAGGGCTTCCTACACACCTCAGGTCTGCAAACTTTCAAATTAGTTACATCTGAGAATAGCGTGGGAGAGGCCCAGAGCCATGCTGTCTAACTGCTAGTTTGGGCCCTGAGTGTCTATGGCCATGTGTTGAAGGCTTGTTCCCAGGTCTGTGGCACTATTGGGAGATGGTGAACCCTTTAAGAGGTGGGGCCTCGGGGGAGGAAGTTAGGTCCTTGGGACCTCAGCCCCTTTCTCCCTCTACTGTATGTTCCCACTTTGATGTACTGGGTACTCCAGTTCTCATTCCTTCAGTGAGTATTTCCTGAGTACTTTCCTTGCACATCATGTCTTGCTAGGTGCTTGGGATGACCAAGGGGTGGGAGAAAACCAACACCAAACAATGATGACATAAATGATTTGATCTGGTCACCAGTGCTATAAAAGATAGAAGGGAAAGATAAGTGCCAGGAGCAGCATGCGCTTCCTTATTCCTCCAAGGAACATTTATTGAGTATCTACTGTATGCCTGGGATGAAGCAGTAAAGGAGATGGATGGCGTCACTCCTGTGTTGGGAACCATGGTTGAAGTCTCCACAGGAACAGAAGTAAATGAGGCATGGACTCAGTTCATCAACAGTGAGGGCCATGGTGGGGGTGGCGGGGGTGGGGGGAGGACAGTTTAATGGAGTTGCAATAATTCCAGTCATCCCTGTATAGCTATCCTTATCTCAACCAGCAAAACCCCTTGTTCCTTCCTATTATTGCTTATACTCTCTCTACAACAAAATTAGAAATAAGACAAAATAGTTTCTGCTGGGTATTGCTGGGGGGGGGAAGAGAGAGGGGGCGGAGTGGGTGGTAAGGGAGGGGGTGGGGGCAGGGGGGAGAAATGAACCAAGCCTTGTATGCACATATGAATAATAAAAGAAAAATGAAAAAAAAATCCAGTCATAGGGGCATCAGAGACCATCTCATTAATTGGGTAAAATAGCTTACCTGCTTATGTATCTACTGGAAAAGAGTATTACTGGGCTGGTGGAAGGATCAGAAGCCAAGTGTTCAAACCCCAGTACTACCAAAAAAAAGAAAAAGAATATCCCTGGGCAAATGGAAATGTCCATGTACCCCTTGTTAATCCAGCAACATGGTTTCCAAAGAAACACATTCTGATGGCTCTGATTTAACGTGGCAGTGTCTCTCTCCTGCTGATTATAATGGAAACCTAGACAACGTGAGTGTCAAGAAATCACAGCAGATGGTCATGGAGAAGCAACCCAGGCAGGAATGAAGTGAAACCATTCTTAGAAGAAGAAAAATTAAGAGCATCATTTTTACTAGACTTGCTCCCAAAAAAATGCTTTCAGGCCAAACATGGCATGGTGCACACCTGGAGTCCCAGCCAGTTGGGAGGCTGAGGTAGAAGGATCACTGGAGGCCCCAGCTTGGTAAGATTCCACTTAAAATGCTAAAGGAAACTCATCATACTTAAGGGAAACAACACAAGAAGAAAGCTTTTAGGGTGAAGGGAGAGCGCCAGAAATGGTAAATATCTGGATAAATATAAAAGACCTTTTCCCCTCCTGTACTGTGGTTGTTTAATTTTATTTTTGAATGAGGGGCCTTCATCGTGATGCTTCCACACGTGTGCACAGTAGACGTTGAACACACACCATCAGATTCCCACTTCCCCCCTTTCCAAACAGTGTGTGTTGTGTTCCCTCTTAAACTCTTCAAATATATAGCACTGTTGAAAGCAAAAATTACAACCTTGTCTGGTCAGAGTTTTAATGTCTAGAAATATCCCTGCAGCAACAGCAGCATAAAGGTTGGGCTGGGGGCTGCATGACTGCAAGGCTTCTACGGTTTGCTTGCAGTAGCATGGTCTCTCTCTACGGAGACCATGAAAAATAAGAGTGTAATCCCTAAAGCAAACCCAGTGCAATAGCTAAGAATCCCAAGTGACCAAATATTCAAATCAGGACTGGAGGCATGGCTCAAGCAGTCGACTACCAGCTTTGCAAGAATGAAGCCCTGAGCTCAAACCCCAGTCCCACCAAATATATACATATACAGATCATTCAAAAGAAAGGAAGAACAGAAGAATTTTTTAAGAGGATGAACAGGAATCATATCATTAAATAGGAGACTTGAAAGTCCACCATGATAATTACACTAAATGTTGATGGTGTCTAAACAGTCCAGTTAAAAGGCAGAGACTACATGATACCTGCAAGAGACAGACTAAATGTAAAGGCACAGCCAGATCAAAAATAAATGGATGGGAAATGCCCCGTAAATAATAAAATGCTGAATTTACCAAGGCAGGGCATATTCTGTGTCATAAAATAACATTTAGTAAATTTTTAAAAATCAAAGTCATACAAAATGTGTAAGGGTATCCCTCAGTGCCCTTATCTTGCATGTGTGAGGCCTTGGGTTTGAGCTCCAGCACTGAAAAAAAAAAAAAATTTGATGCACTGTAGAGCTGCCCCTCAGTTTAGGATGTGCTTATACCTTTTGTAAAGTGGAAAAATCATTAAGTCAAACCTTGTGTGTTGGAGACCAGCATTCCAAAAAATATGTATAATACCTAGAAATAAATATAAAAGTACAGTTCTAAGATTTCTACTTAGAAAAGAAAGTGCTGAAACGGACTTAAGACTTTATAGGGAGACTGGACATGGTGGCTTACACCTGTAATCCTAGCTACTCAGGAGGTAGAGATTGGGAGAATCGCCAGTCGAGGCTGGCCCCAGGCAAAAAGTGAAGACCCTACCTGAAAAATAACTGAAGCAAAGGGGCTGGAGTGGCTGCTTAGCAAGTGCAAGACCCTCAGTTCAAACCCCAGTACTACCTACCTACCTACCTAAATAAATAAACTAAAAATAAAAATAAAACTTTTTTTGCAGTGCTGAAGATGGAACACAGGGCCTCAATACATGCCAGGCAAGTGCTCTACCAGTGAGCTACACCCCCCGCAGCCCAGATTTCAAGCTTGAATGGATAAAAATGTATAGTAGTCATGTGTGCTGATAGGCTCAGGATTAAAAAGTCATTTCTCCCCAAACTGATTGAGAGACTCAACGCAAACCCCACCAGAATCCAGCAAGCCTTCTTGCAGAGATGATCCTCAAAAAAGAATGTGAACAGCAGTGCTTAGGACAAAGCCCGGGGCTCCCTGTACTGCTTGCAGGTCCCCCGCCGTGAAGCCGCAGCCCAGGGCTGGTGGCAAGGTGGCACAGGCCCGCGGGACAGGGCCTCGCTTCCGAAACTCCTGCATTTCCTCCCCAGTGCAGTCCTGCGTGCAGAGGGGCTCCTCGTGCTGCTCCCTGCGAGCCCCTCATCCCTCTCCCCCACCCCCTGCCCACTTTCCACAGCTCTCAGTGGGTCGCCTTGTGCCACCTTCGCACAACACGGACAAGGATTTTGGCATTGTTCCCCCCATCGTTCTCTTTTCCTCTCCCCCCTCCTCCTCATCCCCCCAGTCCCTTGACGACAGTCACATACATACGTGTGTGTTTATATGTTTGTGCATGCGCATATATGTGTTAGGTACAGATTGTGCATATGAGAAAGCCTGCCACCTTTGTCCTTATGGACCTGGCTTACTTCGTGTGATGATCTGTTCCTTCCATTTTCCTGCAAACCCCATAGTTTCATTCTTTTTTTTTTTTTTTTTTTTGGCAGCACTGGGGTTTGAACTCATGGCCTTGTGCCTGCTCCACCACTCGAGCCACTCCCCAGCCCTAAAATGCTCATGGAAAGTTGTTCAATGTCAAAGTCAGCAGAGAAGTGAAAACTGAACCACAGTAAGATGGAACGCACAGCCCGGAATGCCTGAGGGCAAAGAGCAAGTTCTTCCCCAGGAGGATATGCGAGGAGCGACATTATCACCCTGCTTCTGGAGATAGCCAGGCTGTTTCTTAGAAGCTAGGCAAAGCCTCTGAGCCCCACTCCCCGGTGACTGACACAGAGAAGTGGAAGTCTGTGTCCCACAGTGGCTTTGTCACTGTGGCAAGATGAACTAGAAAACCTTGTGTCCATCACCAGCTGGATAAATTGTGCTGGATTCAAACAACGGACTATTACTCAGCAACAAAAAGGAAATGCAGAGCGCTGGTGACTCACGCCAGTAATCCTAGCTATAGGGAGGCGGAGATCAGGAGGATCACAGTTTGAGGCCAGCCAAGGCAAATAGTTCGTGAGACCCTATCTCAAAAAAACCCTGCACAGAAAAAGGGCTGGTAGAGTGACTCAAG